TTCATTAAAAATGACTCAGTTAACTGGCTTTTTATCATGTTACTAATATCGAAGGCTGAATGTGTACTAACCTTATAGCAGTGTTGGCTTTTGGCCAATTTGACCAGCCAAAATAGCCAAAAAATCTCTTAGTTGCGACACTGCCTTATAGAGTATTACCGTGCAAAAATGAAGCAATAAGATTAGAAGAAATTATTAGTTAGTATTAAAGAAATTTTAGATTAATGGAAGGTAACTAAATAGACTTTACGAATTAAGAGCTCAGTATACATACATTTATTACGAAATATTTTTCGCAAGTATAATAATTTTAAATTTTGTTTTTCAAAGATGGACTAAAACTATAAAGACTTTATAAAAAAAGATCACGCTCGCGTAAATATGCGAGTAAGCTTCTTGTCTGAAAATTATTAGATAAATGTAATACTCTGAACGGTTCAGTTCAGTCTGGATTATAGGCTAATCCAAAACTGATCTGAAAATTTCAGTTCAGTTCGATTCGGATTATAAATCCTAAAAATGTCAATCTGAAACTGAACTAAACCGTAAACCAGTAAAAATCTGAACTGAACTAAAAATTTCAGATTAATCTGAAATTTCGGATCGTTTGGAACGATCCTTTTATCGTTCTTTTGGAATGATAACTTCAATCATTCCAAATGAACGATTTTCTTATCGTTCGTTTAGAACGATAACTTCAATTGTTTCAAATGAACGATTTTTTTATCATTCATTTGGAATGATAAACTTCAATTGTTCCAAACAAATGATTCTTTTATCGTTCTTTTGGAACGATAATTTAATCATTCCAAATGAACGATTCTTTTATCGTTCGTTTAGAATGATAACTTCAATCGTTCTAAATGAACAATTTTCTTATCGTTCGTTTGGAACAATAACTTCAATCATTCTAAATGAACGATTTTTTTATTGTTCGTTTGAAACGATAAACTTCAATCATTCCAAATAAATGATTTTTTTATCGTTCTTTTGGAATGATAATTTAATCGTTCCAATCAAACGATTCTTTTATTATTCGTTTGGAACGATAACTTAAATCGTTCCAAATGAACGATTTTCTTATTGTTCATTTAGAATGATAACTTCAATCGTTCCAAATGAACGATTTTCTTATCGTTCATTTGAAATGATAACTTCAATCGTTTCAAATGAACGATTTTCTTATCGTTCGTTTGGAATAATAATTTTAATCGTTCCAAACGAACGATTTTTTTATCATTCGTTTAGAACGATAATTTGATCGTTCCAATCGAACGATTTTCTTATCATTCGTTTAGAACAATAACTTCAATCATTCCAAACGAACGATTCTTTTATTGTTCGTTTGGAATGATAATTTAATCGTTCCAATCGAACGATTTTCTTATTGTTCGTTTAGAACGATAATTTAATCGTTCCAATTGAATGATTCTTTTATCGTTCATTTGGAATGATAACTTCAATCATTCTAAATGAACGATTCTTTTATCGTTCTTTTAGAACGATAATTTGATCGTTCCAATCGAATGATTTTCTTATCATTCGTTTGGAATGATAACTTCAATCGTTCCAAACGATCTGAAATTTCAGATTAATCTGGAATTTTCAGATTAAAATTTTTGCAATCTGAAACCGAACCGAAGTTGATTTGAACTGAAAATTTTCGGATTAATCTGAACCATTCAGAGCTTTAGATAAATGCTTAGAAACCTGAGATTCATAGGATAATTATCTTATTTTTTTTATAAGTCTCTTTGATGTGTATATAACATCGTAACAGAATGAAGAATTGTATAGTGAACGAGAAAACGTTAACAATAATTATAATATTAACGATATTTACCTCATCTAATCTATTTACTATCTTTATACTTTACAGAATGTTTCGGAGATTTAAAATCTGTTTATGCTATTTTAGCAGTATTAACAGATTTAGAAGAGAATTGGCAGTTCCTTTATTTTGAAGATAAAAAGATTGGGATATTCCTATGAAAATTTTTACACATCTTATTTGAGAACCAGGATCAGAGAAATGGTAACTCGAGCCTGTAAAAGCTATCGTGTTGGAACGAGTAGAAAGAAAGATAATATATTCATATTTTACCTCACTTTCAGAATCACTAAAAATAGAATAATGAAGTCATTGCCAAAAAGGCAAAAGCTTGAAAATATAATGAATATTAGGTGTTCGCTTAGTTAAATTTTGATGTCATACTAAGAGGAACAAATAATTAGGCTAAACTAAGTAATAGGATACACAGACCATTGCTGAATTTTCAGTTGCAGTCATTAATGCAAGATTTTCTTACGTTACGGCATTTGGCTGGAATTAATTTTTAATTACTGAAAAATTTTATCCCATAATACTTAGTAATGAACGCGGAAGGAAGTGACACCGGTGACAAATTATATCACGTGAAATTTCATGATGGATACATAGTAATGTACATAGAATCATGTATCACAGGCTTGTAATTTTTGTAATTTATTTTTTAATGTGACTAACTATTATTACCAATAAAAAATACATTTTCTCAGTTTTTTTTTTTAAGTGATTATGCAAACTGATAGATAAATCTTTATTAATACAAATAACGAGAGATCGTGCAAGAATAAGTATAATAGAGTTTTCTTAATAAATGATGAAATTGCAAATAAGATCAAATTAAAATCTGAATATGTTCTTGAGTTATTATGAAAATGCGGTATTAGTATATTCTTAATAAATAATGAGCTACATGATAATAAAAATAACGCTGAGAATAATTTACATACTCATTATTTCTTTGCGTGATCTTAAAATCACATCACATAAACTTTTTGGTCTGGATCATGTGGCCAGTATTACAGGAAAGTTTGAGAATGAAAATAATATGAGTCTTCTGATACCTAGTCATGATGTGAATTACGTCAATACGAGAATTATTTTCCAAAAAAAGGGATTTCAATTTTAAAAATCAGGTGAATGATCGCATCACGAAATTTAGATCTTATAGACTACTATTATAGAAAAGTTATGGGTGTAATGCTGATAATGCATTCAAACATTAAAGATGATAAGTTCATTTATTATAATAATCACTACAATCTCATATACCCTCTACAATGTTCTTTAGAGTCTTTCCTTCATGAATTTTATAATATATAAGACAGGATACTAAAGTGGTAATTTAAAATAATTAGCATAATCTAGTGTTAGTCTTTGGCCATTGGTCATTTGGCCAATTTGATCAGCCAAAATTGCTAAAAAAAATCTTGATTATAGCCAAATGCAAATCAATATTAATACATTTATTTAATACATAATTATTTGGTTAAAATTTAGCTTAGCTGTGATCAAATGCCAATACTAGCATAATCATCACTGTATCTCAAAGATAGATAAAGAGAATGTTCTAACATCATATTAATGATATTTTTCATTGGTTTTTTTAGATGATTTTTTAACAAAAAGATTAAAAATTTCAGATCTGAAAATCATTTATAAAGTCAATTTGATTGTTTGAGAACATTATTTTGAAGCATTTATCTTAGCTTTAATTTCTTATCATAAGATGAGTACTGACACTTAATAAAAAGAATTCTTTATATATTGACCAATTACTTTTTCTTTACTATACTCTTATTCATATCTTAGATATGATACTAATCACTTATATTCATCACTATCACCTTTTAAATAAATAAATAACCTGAGTTTTGCAATCAAATAAGGAATGATAAAACTGTATTTTACGTACTGATAAATTATTTTTTTTATTATACTTATTAATTTTTTCGAAGAACCTATATTATATACTGTATTTCATTATAAAGCCACTATTTAACAATTTATCAAAAGTCTATCTATCTAATTATTAGTATAATATATACTTTTAAAAACTTTTAAACCTTTCTACTTCACTTTTACCTCTTAACTCCTCTTAATTTTATAGCTTATTTCTTTTACAGTAAAATTAAAACTTGTTTCACTTGATAATTTATAGTAACATATTGTCATTATGGCAAGGTCGCTCAATTGCTGTATGCTTCTGGACTTTAACATTTTTTCATTTCTAATTTTCAAAGATTATGATAGAAAATACGTTAATATTAATAAACAAAAAATTTACTTAAAGATTTAACAGTTAAATACCTCAAGGAATTTATCTGTCTTGAAGTTTCTGAAACTGTCAAATGTAAATTGAATCTTTGAAAAATTAATGTTGATAAAGCCGAGATTAAAGATAATAATATTTCTACTAAAGATGACATTGTTTAAAAGCTTAAAGGAAATCTCAAAAACTGTTTAGTGAATATTTTCAAGCTGAGCTAGATAATGAAGTTAAATTTACAGCAGATAACTTCTACATCATTACTATCATCCTATTATCACTAGTAAGTATCTCCCAATTTTATACCTCTTGAATAAGAAATATAATGTATCAGATCACAAATTTAATTTTCTTACTTGTACAGACCTTAAACGATCAATTTTCAATTTCAGTTTTCAAAATGTTAAAACACGTAAATTTGTGAAAACTGAAGGTCCTGTGGATGTCTCAAGAAATTTTTATGTTCCATTTGAAACTGGAGTCAACTTATAAACTGAAGGAAGCCATAAATGAAAAGGTGTACGTGTTTCTAATGAAACATTTTCAATCTGAAATATCATTGACTCTACATTATTTGAGTGGCATCAAAAAGTATTATTTTATATACATTCTTTAATGTTAGCGAATGGATTTCTGCATGGGTTGTGCAACTGACTTTCTTTAAATTTATGTAATAATATAAATGAATTCAATCATGAAATTATGAAGAAATATCAGGGGAGCAGATAGTAATCATGATCGATGAATTTGAATGATTCTTATCTAACCAAAATAATACAATTGATCAGATTAGAGAACTTATCAAATTTGTAAATAATAGGGAAGCAAAAGGAATCAAATAGATTGTTTTTGCAGGCAGTTTCTCAATTACTACAATACTTTAAGATGGAAGTTCACACATTAAAAATGTCATTGAAACATCGTCATAGGAGTTGTCACAGGAATTGCCACAGGATAGTATGTTAAAGTATAATTTGTTGGTTCAAAGCCAGTGGTTCCGTCAACATTAAATTTAGCAAAAATTATTGAGGTATCAGATTTTACCAAAGAACAGCACGTGACATTCTTTTATGATATTCAAGAGAATAGAAATCTTCATTTTAATGAAAAGGTTGTGGATGATATTTACGGCTGTACTAATGGTTACACTGGATTAGAAGGTCTGTTTGCATCATTGTGCATTGAATATGCTAGCAATGGGAAAACCCTTGACTTTAGTACATGGAATAATTGCTTCATAGAATTTATTTGTAACCCCACAAAAAAAAAGATTAGTGCAGTTAAATATATTGAAAACTACCTCTCCGATAGTACTGATAATAATAATAATACCTTTGTCAAAGCTGCAAAGAACCTTTTAGGGTGCTTTTTAATAAGAGGAACTTTGTCATCTTCAGAAATTGATAATGAAGAAGATTCAATTTCCATTGTACATTTGCGTACAATTGGCAACATAAAGAGTCGGGACAACTATTATGAGTTCACATCTAATATCATCCTCGATATATTGACAAGCAGTTATTATCCTTTCTATAGAGAAGCTTTAGCAAGAATCCCGGTTATTAACTCACCTCGAGACTTCTTGAAGAAAGCTTTAGACCTTTTAATGTAATTTCGTTATGAAGTAATTTTTGATTCCTTAGCTGCAAATCAACACACTTTTTCTGAATCAGTTATTCAAGGAGAACTTTATACTTTACTACGTATAGCTGCGTCGTATACAACGTATAAGGTTTTTCGTGAAACCAGAACTTTGAAGAAATCTGAAAAAAAATGCGACATCTGGGTGTGTAATAATTATGAGTATGGAATCGAATGTAAAGTCAACAAAGTTTCTGACAATGACATTATGAGTGCAGCTAATCAGGCTATTGGGTACATATAAGGACGACAAAAAGTTTGCTGTATGCTCATCTTCAACTTTGTGCCATTTGACAGTAAGCATCATGAATATCAATTCACTTTTCCAAATGTTGTCAAGCCAAGAGACGAAATCTACTTTGAAATGGTTCATATATTATATTCTCAAGCAACTCGAAGTGCAAAAGTCCTTCACAATTGTATGGTCGAGGAAATTTCTTTTGCAAGTAATTAAACAACATACCCACAATGCTAGTTTGGTACAAGGAAAGTATAATAACTATCATTGTATTTTCTAAATAAATCCTATATGTAAACGCAAGTTACAATTTATGCTTTAAAGTACAAAATAATGTAACACGAAAAATATTTCGCTATAGATTTGTTCGCTCATTTTATTTTTCCGATGCACAATCAATGACTAAAAATTCAAGTAAAATTTTATTAAAATAATTTTTCAGATACGTTAACGAAAAAGAAAATGCGGGAGTACGCGGATCCTAGGACACTTAATGCGTGTCCCTGGGTCATATTACTTTGCTCCTATATTTCTACAGCCTTATCGCTAATATTGCTAAGTACGAAATTCTTACACCACCTATAAAAATAAATTTAGGTTATGAAAAAAAAACCATCACAATCGGTGTTGTGAAAAAAATTTATTACGGTTATATAGCCATATAAAAATAATACAAAAAGTTCAGAACTATACACATAAAACAAATGGATAATCGAAACTTTTTATCAAGATTAATCGATGGCTTACCCTTTTTTCCCTTGATTGCTCTTCACTTTAAAAGGACCTTTTCCGCCTTGCCTTGTCTTTCATATTCTCATTCTCATATGTAACAATAAGAGGTTTCGCGATTTTTACTTGATTTTAAAGGAAAAGTTGCAGAGATAGGATAGAGCTCCCCGACCTGAAAATTCCAGATTGATGTACCAAACTAGACAAATTCAGGTCGATCAATTAAATTTAATATTAGAAAGCATTTATTCTACTATTTAATTGTTGAACTCAATAACAAAGCCTTAAAAATTCACTACAAAAACTTTAAAAAAAAAAAAAATTTTTTTTTTTTTATTTATCAATTTCCATGTAATCAATTCTTTCTTCATCTTTTTCATTAACTAAACATTCAATGACCCATTTCTTTGCTTCAATAGTAACATTACAACATAAAGCTCTCCCTATAATTTTTTCCATAAGGTTGTCATCAAATTCATCATCACAACAAATAATCATCTCAAACAACATTCTAATTATTTCCTGATATATTTCAGTTACATTATAATTCATTGTGTAAAGCACATCTAAATTATCGGTTAAAGAAGGATGGTAATTATACTGTATTTCTATTGGATGTGATATATTATTATTCATGACAGCTAAAGTCTTTAATTGAATTTCACATTTTTCAAGAAAGGGTATAATAATTGAGGCATGGTATGGTAATAAAACATTTTTTGAAGCAAAAGAAATTAATGTTAAGTAATGAAATACTCTAAGGATTGAATTTAAATAATTGAGTGCCCAAGGTAATGTTTCCTTTTTAACAAGGTTAATATCCTCTATTTTGAATATCATTGAAATTGAATAATAAATAAAAATGAAAATAACAAAAAAAAATAAAAAATAAATAATATATACTTACCTAATGATTTTAATAATCCAGTTAAAATACAAATAGATTGTTTAATTAAAACACCATTTGACCATTGTAAAGTAGAATTTTTACATCCTTGTAAAACTCTTAGCAAAATTCTAGGTCCAAATAATGATTGTTCAAATAATGATCGTGATGCTGATGAGAATGGAATTTGTTGTGAAATGCATAAATGATGCAACCACGTTAACAATCCTCTATTTTTTATCATATCTGTAATAACTTTCGGTATCGAGGCTGCCTGGAATAAGATCTAACGTACAAAAAGAGAGAAATTTGTTAAGAAAACATACAATCAATATACATTTATACGTGATATACTAAAAATAATAGATTTCATAGGTACCTCAATAACAAGCTTGCGTGTTATATTGTCTGCTAATGGAGAATTATAATAGCAAGATATTATATCCCAAACATATCTTCTTTTAAATATCTTATAATCCTGCAAATAAAGTTAGAATTATCAAAAAAAAAAAAATAAAATAAAAAGAGACCAAAATATTTAAATTTACATCATGAGTTTTTAGTCCAGCAGATAAAAGCCTTAAAATCCAAACTCTTTCTTTTTGAAAATTCTCAGTAGAAGAATGAAATAAATTATAAAACATTGGTATGTCTTCTAAATCCAAAAATGGTCTTTGTAATAAAAATTTATTAATAATAGGATACATAAAATGTCCAGGGTTTATGAATATACTTAGTGAATGTGCTATGAATATAGATATTATCGTTGGAATTCTTTGTATATCATCATCATCGTCATTATCACGATTCGTTATTGAATTCTTTAATGAATTTAAAAGTAAGAGTATTTGACTCTTTTCTCGAATATTTATATGCTATTAAAAAAAAAAAAAAAAAAATGTGTGCTTGGAAGGTAATTTTAAAAGCAATATTTCACGTTTTTTTTTTAAATACCTCTAATAAAACGTAAAATTCATCCAATAGATAATATGCAGCTTTTCGTACATTAGCAATCAGAGATGATGTGGCGACAACAATATAGCCCAAAGCATTAATTTCAATGAATTTTCTACAATCCAATAAATTACCATATGATAATAGATTTGCAAATAATGGTAAAAAGTAAGATGGATCATAAACAGGTGCTTCTCTCTCAAAAATTATATCATTGTTTTTATCAAATAATAAAAACTCTTTAAAGTTATTATAATTAATTTCCAATTCCTTATCGATTGGAAAACGTGTAAAACTTCTCATCATAATCATTGGATCAATTAATTCCAATGTTTCGACTAAAATTCGTTGTCCCATAATCAACCCTCTCTTATCTACTTGTTGTTTGTATGATGATGAACTCGTTCCCCATTTCATTGCAGAGGATACGATTGAAGATTTTGTAGTTTTTTCATATAAGATGAAAATATCTAATAATAATTGATCCGAGATTGACGTTGTTGCATTGTAAATCGATAAAAGTGAACTCAAATATGATGATTTGCAACATTCTTTAGAGTTCATACGATATAAAGTGTTGAGCAAATGACATATTGTTAGTCTCCTTATAAATGTTGAAGAATCAATTGATTTATACGACAGTTCTGAAGGATTGGCCAAAATTTTAAATTGAGAGTTATTTATTATAGCTTCGATAACCCTATCCAATGAAGGGCCAAAAACCTCCTATAAGATTTAGGAAATTTTTATTAAAATTAACTATATTATCAATTTTGTTATTTTATTAACATACCTTTTTGTCGTAAGCATATGTGATTAATGTAATGATACAGTTTAATATTATTGGATCTTCAAATTTCTTTTCCATAAGCACAAAAATAAATTCACCAATAATATTTGCATCCAGATTCGAACATCGCGGTACAACTAATTTTATTAGCACATCTAATTTTAAAAAAATCTATGTTAAATAAATATATATATAAAAACTCAAGATTTAATACATCAAATATTACTCACCAACTTTGCTAAAAACATTTTGTATAACCTTGATACTATATTTCTTATATTCATCTTTTTCGATAAATAACGTTGCATAATGTAAAAAATTCGAAATAAACTTCTTTATTTCATCATTATAATAATTGAAATTATCCAAAAGGTAACATTCAATTATATAAAGAAAATCCAAATTAAATGAATCTGAAGGTGAATTATTTTTGATATCATTATCTAACGTATCAAGAACTTGCTGTGAAGGACTTAAATTCAATAATGCACAAGTAACTAAAGCATAAACCGACGGCTTTTCTTGTGCCATTGATTTTGAGATACTATGAAAGAATTTCAAAGCAAACAAATCAGATATTTTCTTAATAGATTTCTTATCACTCTCTCTAGCAAATTTTGTCCAAGTCACTCGAGAATATTTAAAATCCATATGAATTGTAGAAATAATCTCTAACAATGAATTCACCAGAATTATCATATCCGGAATAGCAATTCTTTCTGATAAATTCTGATGATTTAAGATCCAATTAACAAATAACTTTCTAACTTCCGAGTTACATAACATGAAATATCCAATGATTTTAGCACGATTGTTATTTAAATTATCCAGAAAATATCGAGCTACTTCCACACATTTATTTGGTAAAGGATGAAAGTTTTGTCGTTCTGAGAAATATAACAAAGAATTGTTTTCTTTAGTTATTCCAGGCGGCAAATATTTCTCAATAATTTGTAAAATTATGGAATCCATCTCAATTTCATGGCATGAGAAAAATTCCATCAAAATTTCTTCACTAGTTTTTGTGATCAATAAAGCACGGGATAATTTGTTAATCAAATATGAAAGTAATTTTTTATAATGACTAATTAGATTAACATAATCATGTAATAAAGGATTGTAGAACTTAGATTCTAAAAGGCTCGAAAAAAGTTGAAATATTTCCGCTTCATTCCAAAAATTGTCAAACTTGTAACAAAGTATACACATCTATAAAAAATTAGCATACTAATTGTTAAAAATACAAAAGATTAAAATTACTAAGGATAATGAAGTTAGAATAGTCACAAAAGTCATTGATTACCTTATTGTATAATAACATGTTACCATCTCTATGCAAATTTTCTGAATTTGTCATACATAAGAGTCGATTAAATAACTTACTCTTGAATGGTAAAAGACGACGTAAAGCATCTACCCTACGTGTCTTCCATATTATATTCTCATTATCATTATTTGTAAAATAAATAACAAGTTCTGCAATAACTAAAATAAAAAAAGTACGAATATCAATACATTGATTACATCTAAATATTATTTTTAACCAAATATAATGCTTACATTCGTCCAAAACAGAGTAATATTTTATAAAGTCTGAATCAAAATTTTGACCTTCAAGTACACTTATCAAGAAGAGAGTCGATAAATCTTCCAATCCTAATATCAAATTTATTATATCATCAAAAATCTTTGATGTGCCATCATCGTCTTCCGTTTCTTCAGTAACTTTTTCAATAATAATCTTTAAAAGATTGAAGCATGTTTGCAATCCTTGTATCAAATTATAGCAAGGAACAGATAAAAATGTCTTTGTAGCAAACAAAATCTGCCTCGTTGTGTGCAAAATATTCTGCAGAGGTATGGACCGTAAAGATTTATTTAGAAGAAACCCAATGTTTTTATCCATCAAATGGGAAGGAAATGAATTGTCAAAGAAAATAGAGAAAGGTGTCAAATCTAAAAACTCAATGAGTAAACTTATTTCACTAAAGATATCGAAATCAATAAATGTTAGGAGCCCATTTTTCTTATTAAAGTACAGAGCAGAAAATTATTTCTGTGGTTTACCTTTCTTCAACAGCGTTATGAGTCAAAGCACTATCCTTCTTTCCAAAAAAAGGTAATAAATAAGCATTAACAGCTTCTTTAATAACTCGAACATTGAACAAACTACCCGAACTTGGATATCGTTCATAAATATATTCCAAGATAGGTTCAAACTTTGCCCATCCTAAAACGTTTTTAATGTAACATAAAATCTCGGGTAAATTTCTTTCAAGAATTGGTACAGGTAACACATAAAGCATATCGAGAAATTCAGATCTTGCTTTGTATCTATCAGGATTTTTGTCTAATAAAAGAAATAAGTTGAGTTCGAAAACTAAATTTAAAATAAAGTATCTCAATAATTCACATATCCTTTACCTTTCAAATTCTCTAAACAAACTTTCTCGGCTTTCATTAGATTTTGATTAAGATCTTCTTGTACCACCCCATTAATTATAACCGGGATGTCTATCATTGTATCAACACTAAGAGAACTTTCGGATGGATATTTATACAGACTTGAAATACGCTCCAAGCTTGAAAAGAATTCATTGACTCCCCAATTTCCTATATATTCAAGAAATCTGTTATTTTTAAATCTAAGATTTCTTTCCAATCGTTCAACATATTCATCTAGATAATATGTGAATAATTGTTTGGTATATAGTTTTTTGAATAATATATGTAAGAATGATGTGATGGCGACTTTATTCTCCGTAACACTCTCATAGCTTTTTACAAGTGTTACTAATAGTGGACTAAATGGATAAGAAGCATTTGAATATTTTGGACCATCTCGAGAAATCAAGAATTGCTGCACAAAAGCGTTCTCCTTCGTTATTCTAATATCCTCAAAATCTTCCATCCTTTCATTTATAACATTGATGACTTGACTTAAATCATCAATATATGGGCGAGGATTTTTAAGAAATGATACAAAACAATTGTCAAAAAATTTCAAAACAGTTGCTTGACCATTGAATTTGTCAAAGTTTGCATTTTCCGGAAAAATTCGAGGCAAAGAATCCAGCCAAATCGAAACTTCATCTGGATCATGTTGGAAAGTTATAGAATTGGAGAGTAACCGCTCAAGTACACGTTGTGTAATGGAACGTATTTGTAAATATGGTGTGGTCAAAAACAATTTTAAAAGTTTTTGAAGATGATTGAATTCTAAAAGTGATATTGGCTTATTAGTTTCTCACTTTAAAAAAAAAGAATTATAATTTTGTAAAATTCACCTGAATTTATTGACCAATTAGATTCAGCAATCAACAACAATAATTCCATCATGTTTAATTGAAGTCCTACTTGTGATTCCTGAAAATCCATTGGAATCAAATTGTCGACGTCCAACTTTATTTCCATCATCATTTCAGGATAAAAAAGATAATAAAACTTGATTGATTTTAAAATGCCTTCATGCATCAGATTATTCCTAATAAACTCATCATTATCTTCATTGCTCATCATATTAGATGAAAATCCCTTCTCCTTTTCCAAAATTTCGTAATAAAAGTTAAGAAGAATTTGAATATCAGGTATTCTATGCTTCATTTCTTCATATAATGAATCAATTGTCTGACTCCATATCGATGACGTCGCTTCTTTCTTGCTCAGTCCTCTCTGAATAATTTGAGCCTCACTAACTAAATTGTCTAAATAACTGATTGCCTTTTTAACCGAATGCACAACTGTGTTCAATTTTTGGAATGCCAAACACAAAACAATCATGGTCTTATATCTAATTAGTGAACTGGAATAGTCAAGGCATTTAATCAAAGTATCTTGATCAAATATTCTTGGAAGTATATTGTCCAAGATAACATTTAACTCTGGAGGATTTTCTGGGTAAATCTGAGTTCCGGGGATATAAAATGAAGGAACAGGGAGTGCTATTATCTTGTGAAGCAAAGTCACATTTGCCAACCACTTATATGAAAGTTTAGGTTCAAAAGAAATCTTCGAAGTTTTCCAATATCTACGAAATAAATCGATCGAATTAAAGTAGATTACATAATATAATGAATCAAATAGGATTGACTTACGGTTTAACCAATTCTGGGCACGATTCCAAAATTTTCAACAAGAGTTCTTGTTGACGTAAATCTTGTGTCGGTTTTAATGATTTAATGAATTGCAATAATATTATGTTATGTACTTTCGTTTGCTTCTCATTTTCATGTTGATCTGTGTCACTTAAGGATATATTCATATAATTAAATGGATACCATCCTGCATCACGAAAGCAAATACCTACACCGGGTGTACAACAAATTGATAACAAAAATCGATGAACAATATTCGCTACAATTTTGTCGGGTTCGTGTTGTTCCGATTCACGTCTATTATAAAGATGTAAGAGCTACGGATTATAAGCATTTAATGAAAGTTTTAGAATTCTATAAACAAATAACTTTCAATTAGCTTTACTTGATTCAAAAGCCAAGTGTTGTTGAAAAATGATAATATTGTCTTTCGGTTGATATCATTGTCAAGGATTATATGGTCGTAAACTTTTCTCAGCACTTCATCAACAAACTAATTAATCAAAGTAAGAATTAATTACTAAAAATATAAAGAGCTTCAAGTGTAAATTACATACTTCATATGAGTCGTGCAATAATCCTTTAAATATCAAGCTTGCAAAATCTTTAATCTCCAGTACATTTGACTTGATTTTTGCATTTCCATGTACAAAGAATGATAAAATGAATCGAACATATAAAGTTCGAATGTCTAAAAGAAGGCAAATGAAAATTTTGAGTTTTACGTTAAATCAATTTATGTTAAGTTGATATTAAACTAACCATTTTGTGAGTGATTATTTTTCGAATTATCTTTTGATGTATTTCTTCGGATATTCAATAATCTTCCTAGTTCCTAAATAAATCCATCAATATAGCAAATCTAATTAAAAAATGATAAATAATAAAATCAAAACATACCTTGAGATTAAGATTATAAGTAAATGATTCTAACAACTCTTTTGAGATTGAAGGATCATGGGAATTCATTATAATTAATAACTTTAAAGTATTCTGACATAGAGGTAATTTTTCAGAAGATAAATTATTCCTAATAACTCTCATGTAATTTCGTATGACATTACGAATGACAATTGTTCCAGTAGATTTTAAAGAAGGAGTGATTGTTGTAAATTTTATAATTTTTGAAAATAAGTCAGGAATTGATAGTTCTAGTCGTGTTAAATTATCCTTGAGAAAAGTGAATATAAATAAGTATCAATTTCTTTATAAAATAATTTCACAATAAACTTACATGTAACTGCGTATCCCATATTATAAACAATTCTTTACATTCAGGCGAAGTTTGTAAATATTCATAAGCTATTGATACATTTTTATCGTTGATTGAATCGATTTCTTTGATATTTTTATCTTTTGGGTAAATGAAGTGTTGTCTAAATCTATTAATTCCTAAAAGTACAAAAATTTGAGTTCAATGATTAAAATAAGTGAAATTCAACAGAAATGTATAATACCTTGGTATAAAATTTCGTAATTATTAGAATTCAAGAATTCTTGTAATTCCTCGAGAGATTTAAAAACTTCCCAATTGGCCATAGTCATAGTGAAGTGTAAAGAAATATTTTTTTTTTTGATAATCTGAACGATTAAATAAATTATTTGATCAACGCTTAATCGTGATTGGTTGACTGGATCTTTTACCTTTTTCTCAGATATATTTAAAATTTAATTATATTTATCTTACCTGTTTATATTTGCGGTAAAAAAGGTGCATTTTAGGCTTTGAGAGACTAGTTTGCACACGCCGAATATTCGCGCTCTTATTAACAGAGTATTAAAGTCTTATTAAAAAACATAGGTTTTGCCATTTGCATCAACAATTTTGACAGAAATTTACAATTTTTAAGCGAGAAACGTTCGGAGACTCTGAACCCGAGTTTGGTGTGAGGAATTACACTACACTTCAGTGAAGATTTCTCACCTTCGGAACTCCTGGAAATAAGTTTTTTTTTTCTTAAGGGTCTAATGAATCTCGAAGTGGAATTGATTATAAAAAAAGTTTGAAAATAACCTCTCTAAATGTATCAACTATTATATTTAAAAATGATGTTCCACTGTCAGATAAAAGTTCTCATGTATACAAATAATTTCTTTGAAGATAAATTTAGCAACAGCGACTTGATATCATAATCTAGGAAATGACATGAGCCACATTTACCGATTTTCTGCCGTATTCATGTTTATGTTCTCATTATTGATAATGATTGATACATTGTAAATTTAATAAGGACATGAAAAATTTGAATTTCAGGAAAGAGTCTTTTAATACTCAAAGATTTCTCAAAAATGGTCATGAAAAGATTTATGTATCGCTACAGACTGCAAATGCTCCAAGGAGATGAGTTTGCAACTCCAGATTTGTGGATTAATCTCCGGTTAAAAGGAGAAAACCGCTTACTTTCGAACGATATGAAATTTCGGAATTAAATTAACAAATTTCGAAAAAAAAAACGCGAGTCGAGATTTGTTGATTATGTATAACATAATATTCGAAATCTTTTACTAACAATCTGATCAGTTTATTCAGTGATTGATGATTAAGATGAACAATTTACTGGGAAAATTCACAAGCAATATCACATGAAATATTAATATATGAGATGCAACAAATTGAAATAAATTTATTCATAATTAAGTTTTAGTCATTATTATCATGATAATCATCTTCCTGAGCTTTCGTTATAGCGGATTCATCCGTGGGTATAGCGGAATAATCGCCTTCCGGGTCAATTTCTTCTTGGACAGGTTCAACTTTCTTTGGATATTCACCTTCATAACCTTTCAAGGTTATTTTTCGATTCTGTGAATAAATTCTTATTCCGAGTGATAATTCCCATTCACATTTTTCGTGTTCTTCTTCCTCGTCATCAGAATTGTCATTTACATCTTGTCCAATTGCTAATTTTTTCACTCTTCTTTCCTTTCTCTTTTTTGAAGCATTATTCATTTTAATTAAACGAGGGTCCAACGCTTTCGCTCCTTCACCTTTTCCACCTTCACCACCTTCACCACCTTCATCACCTTCCTTATCTCCATCTCCTTCATTATCATCATTCACGTTTGCAAAGTAATTTTCAACTCGTGTGATATGTGGAATTATCTCATATGTTCCAGCAGGAAGGTTAATTTCTTGATTGATGCTACGTGATGCATGAGGATTCCCAATTTGACTACGTGATAAATAACTTTCGCTTCCTTGCTCATAAACTCTGAAGCTCAATAGATATCTGAATATGATAAAATATTTTAGCAAAGTTTTATCGGACGAAAAATAATTTATTTAACATACATACTTATATTTTTGATCTTCTGTGAAATAACGATTATCGGGCTGTTGTAATACAATGACCAACTCCGATTCTTGAGGGATGGTCAAGATGAATTTTCCATCAGATTTAGGTAATACATTATATTTGATCCAGGTTGTGTAAACGGTCCAAGAACTATCAAAAAGTCGAACCTTGTCAATACAATTCCAATGATTTAAAAAGTCTTCATAAGACATCCAGAAAGCTCCATCATCACCAAATTGATGATTAAGAAGCGTCATACGTTCTGGTGACCATTCTTTACTACCATCACTCCAAGGACCTAAAAAAAAGGTTTTAAAAAAATATATCAAATAATTGATTATAATTAATTAATTTTAAGATAATTACCGTTCCATTCACCAGTTCCATGAGGGTTACGAATTTCTACGAGTTTAGTTCCATTTTCAATTTCAATGGTACGAATAACGCTATATGCGTGATTACAATACAGGCCCTTGATCGATACAATTTCTTCTTCAGAGGGATCATATGTGATATGGCTGACAGCGAAAAGAACTTTCTTGTTCACATGAACTAACTCTTCTCGCCAAAATTTTTCAGTATCAAGAATATCGTCAGTTCGTACAAATGTATAAACTCCTCCAGTCAAATCTTCAATGGCTATTAAATGTTTAAAGAAATTAATTTTTTTTATTCTAATATGGAAAATAAATTATTGTAAAGTACTGTATGATACTTGCCTTCACCTGTCCATCCGCCTTCAATACTTTCATAATCCCCATGTATTTTGGCGTAAGCCTTTTCAATTAATGGTAACCAGGTTTCGTTTTCACTTGAACATTTACTATATTAAATAAATAAATTAATAAATGCCATGTAAATATCAAAAAAAAAAAAACAAGATGTTAAATTTAAAATTCACATACGCATAAGTAAGATCAAATTTCCCATTTTCATCTTTACCATAAGTACAAAGTTGGTCATCGACAACGGTTGAGATCCAATCTCCATCCTTGTATTAAATAAAGAGATTATAAATTTTAGAATAAAAATTTATTTCTTTCAAATAAACATTTTAATAAAATTATTAAAACAATTACCTTGAAGAAAATAAATCCATAAATACCAACTTCTTCATCACGTGCTACACAAATAGTTTCCAATAATCCAGGGATATTCGTGACAACACCTAAAGCAGCCACAAACCAACAATCACCAACAAAACCTTGTTTAAGGTCATTAGGTTCGACACCATTGACGAAAAATTGAGGATTTTTGAATATCTTTGAGATCCTTTTAACATCAGAAGGTGGAAAATCAGTTTCATGTTTGCCATAAATGCAATCATTTTGACTCATCAAAAGATCAAATTCACGATCACGGAATTTACGGTTAAGATCGCGATGTTCTTTAGCGATCTGCGAAAGATTTAGTAGATATCATCAGTAAAAGGATTCAACATAATATAGTACATAAATATTATCTTACCTTTTCAACTTTGTTCTTACAGATTTGAATAGCTTTTTTAAGATTAGAGGTAGCGGCACAAGAAATAGTATGATGCGAATCAATCAAACTTTTTCGTTCTTGTTTGAACCGATTATGTCTGTTTTTCTTAATCGAACTATTGTCTGCTGGGATCACGTGCTTTTTCTTTTCATTTTTTGTATAAATTACGGTGGGATCACGTGTTCCAGCACTTTTATACATTACTGTTGTTTTGTGAAAAGTGAGGTGAAAGTAGAAGGCTTCTTTACATGGCTAAGTGTTATTTATACATTTTTTGTCGCGAGATCCGAGAATTTTGAGAATTTTCGGAGTTATCGGAGTTCATATTTAATTCCGACATGTACAACAGACTTAAAATAAAATTCTCACAAAAACAACTCACAACATCCAGCTTGTACTATCTTTCTATACTAGTTCCCAATTATATTATATCTAGCGTTGATCAAATCACAAAGATTACTTGGCGGATGGAATGAAACGGAAAATTTATGGGTTTATATAGATTACCTATTTTGTAATTAATTAAATAAATAAAATAATTAAGTAATTAAAATTAAAAACATTAGATTTTATTCTTTATAAATTATTATAATTTAAAATCTTTTAAAATATTATATAAATTTATATATGATAATAAATATATATAATTTTATAAATATAAATTTATCTATAATTTTAATATTTAAAAGATTTACAATAAAATAATTAGTTAAAATTTTTGTTATCAAGAAATTTTATGATAAAATCTTTAATATATAAATTTTTATATTTAGCTAATATAATTTTAATTAATTAATTAAGTATAATATCTATTTAAAAAATCCATTTAGAAGTTAATGTTGTTAGATGATGCCACTGCTGTGCCAAACAGTGATCAGCAATAATTTCTGTTTCGCCTGACATGCTTGTTTCTTCTGTATTTTCTAAACAGTCT